TGTTTGGTTTTTTCTCTTTTTATTTTTTTTTTTGAGTTTTTTATTTTTTTGCTATAGGGCACGTGTGCTTACCAGAAAGACAGAGACAGAAAGTGAGAAATCACTCCCCCGGGGGGATGGCCACGCTGCAATCTCTTCTCCATTCTCCTCTCGGGATCTTGGGCATACGCGCCCAGCGTGAGTTTAAGCCACCGGGTCCAGGGCTCAAACCATGGCCAACTACGTGGGAGTCCAGTGATATATCCATTACGCCAACTGCTGGTCCCTTGTTTTTGTTTTTATTTAAGTTTATTTATTTATTATTTTTAGTTTGACCAAAGAGAGAGAAAGCTGCCAGGTTCAGGACTCGAACCACAGCTGGCCATGTAGGAGTCCAGTGCCCTTAACCACCACACCACCTCCCAGCCCCTAGAAATTTGTTTTACACTGGAAGATTTGGTTCTCTAGCTTTGAGCCAGCTCTTTCAATAAAATAGTAATAATAAAAGTAGAACCCTACACTTATATAAGGGTTTTAACTTTGTAAAGTGGTTTTCTTTTTTTTTTTTTTTTTGGAGAGGTTTTGGCTATAGGGTGCGTGCGCTCACCAGACAGCCAGAGACAGAGAGTTAGAAAGTGAGAAATCACCCCCCAGGGGGGATGGCCATGCCGCAATCCCTTCTCCTCCATTCTCCTCTCAGGATCTTGGGCACGCACGCACATGCGCCCGGCGTGAGTCTCAAGCCACCGGGTCCGGGACGTGAACCATGGTCGACTACATGGGAGTCCAGTGACATAGCCATTACGCTAACTGCTGGTCCCTGTGAAGTGGTTTTCACATAATATTATCTTACTTTATCTTGCAGCAGCACTGTGAAGTACTAGACATTGTGTTTCAGGGTGGATGTGACATTTTGTTTTGCAGTGAAAGGCCGCGGCCACGTAGCTAGGTGGTGGCAGAACTGAAAGTCAATACCAGCTCCGCTGCGTGACCACACTGCCTTGTTGGGTAGAAGTTGTGGCCAGTATGCTAGATCCAGTCAGCAAACAAGTCTGTAGGTTATTCGACATCTAAGCTTGCTTTTCACTCTCCTGCAGACAGAGGACATCCGTCTGGAACCAGACCTATATGAAGCTTGCAAGAGTGACATCAAGAACTACTGCTCCACTGTGCAATATGGCAATGCGCAGGTAAATTTTGCTTTTGTTTTTTAATTGTAAAAGTAATGTGAGGCCCACCTGTACTGGCTGAAGCAGTAGGGTTCCTCTGCATGAGGCTGGGGCCACATGATAAGCATACGTTCAATTCCCAGACCAGCATGAACAGGCTGGGCATGGTGGCTTGTATCTGTGATCCTAGAGGCTGGGACAGAAGACTGTTGAGGGCAAGAGCCTGTCAAAAATTTTCTCTCTCATAAGAAAGAAAAGGAATATGAGTGTAACATTTTAATGGGTTCTGTCCTGCCAGTGATAATTAGCACATACATTCAGCCTCACTATCCCTCTTTTTTCCCTTTTAAAGATTTTTGCCAGGACCAACAGATTGCATAATGGTTACAACACTGGACTCCAATATTGTCAACCATGGTTCAAATCTTGGACCTGGAGGCTTAAAACTCATGCCAGGCATGTGCATATGCATGCCCAAAATCCCAAGAGGAAAAGGGATTGAGGCATGGCCATCCCCACTGAGGGGTAATTTCTCTTTTTGTCTCTCTGGCGAGCACACATGCCCTATAGCAAAAATCTCTCCAAAAATGAAAAGAAAAGTTTTTGCCAGAGGGCATGTATGATCACTGGAGAGAGCAGAGAGGGAAAGTGAGAAATCATTCCTGGGGGCGTGGCCACGCTGAATCCCTTCTCCATTCTCTTCCTGGGATTTTGGGCACACACGTACATGTACCTGGCATGTCATTCAAGCCGCCAGATCCAGAACTCCAGCCACTCAGTCGGCCATGTGTGATCCAGTGCCTGAACTACCACGTGATGTGCTGTCCCCTAACACTCCCTCCTCATCCCCTTTGATCCGCACCAGATTACTTTCGAAGGGGAGAACTCTTCTTTGCCTTCATTTACTCTCCTCACTCTCCTGGGTCACCTCATCTTTCCCTGCCTTGTGTGTCTGATAAACTCCTGCTGTCTAGAGCTTTCTCAAGCCCTCTGCATCTTCGACATTATTTATGCCCTTGCAGTTTCTCAGTGCACAGAATTGTTAAGTAGAGGTCACATAAGGATCTCCTAGGAAACGATTTTAAAAATACATAGCAACAGAGCTCTGCCCAGTCATAAAATATAAACAAGTGGGGTTGTTTTCCTTTGTTTTGTTTTTAACTGCCTCCCAACAACTCTGCTTCCTCTTCTAGTTAAGAGCATTGCCATGGTGCGTTAGCCTTTGAGATAATTACTTCGCTGTCTTTTTTATCTACCTATTACTGATGCAAAGTCTGCTTTCAGTCTGATTCTCATTTGTTTGTACAGATACCCTTGTTCAGCATAGGGTTACATCCCTATAAACCCATCATAAGTTGAAAATACTACGGCAGAACTGGATTTAAAACACATAACATACTGAGCAGCATAGCTTAGCTTAGCCTATTTTATTTACTTATTTATTTTAGAATTATTTTACTTAACTTCATTTCTTTCATTCTTTATTTTTAATTTGAGGAGAGAAAGAGAAAGTGAGAAAGCAAGCTGCCAGATCCAGGACTTGAACTGAGGTCAACCGTGTGGGAGTTCAGTGCCCTTAACCACCATGCCACTTGCCGACCCCACTTAGCCTATTTTGAACATGTTCAGAATAGTTACATTATCCAACAGCATGTCAAAATCATCTAACACTAAGATTGCCTTATAATATTGTATATCCCATGTAATTTATCGAATACTACAACAGAGGGAAATGAAAGCAGGCCAGCAGGTGGCATAGTGGTTAAGGGTGCTGGACTCAACACATGGCAGACTGTGGTTTGAGTCTTGGACCTGGCGGCTTACTTTCTCACTCTCTTGCTTTCTCTCCTCTCTCTCTCTCACTCTGTCCCTCTCTAGTCAAATTTAAATAAATAAAATAAAGTTAAATAAAATAATTCTTTTTTTTTGGGGGGGGGTTTTCACTATAGGGCGCATGCGCTCACCAGAAAGACAGAGAGAGAGAGAGACAGAAAGCAAGAAATCACCCACCAGGGGGG